AATACAAATAATCCGGATGGTTTGCTCCCTTCCTGGGTGGTTGGTTTTTTCCCCGGCAGCCCCGGGCCCAAGCTGGGAAGCCAGAGAACAGCCCCAGGTGGGGGGGGCTCCGGGGCTGAGGCGGGATGGGGAGGGTGGCCTGGATCTCAGCCCTTTCATTCTCCTGGGTTCCCCTCCCCCCAGGCCGAAACAAAGGCCCCTTTATGGGCCCAGGTTAGCAGCATCCCCCGGCACCTGTCTTAAAGGCGCAGGCAGCTTTTGTGCTGCCCATGCTGGTCCCCAGCTGCCACCCAGCCCTTGGCGCGGGCCCCGAATTCACTCAGCACACGTGTGCGCGTCATGGGTAGGACATGAGGGTGCACGTCTGTGCAGCACGTGTCATGTGGCCGCGGCTTGCCTGGGCCATGTAAATAACACGCAGCCCCACATGGCTTAATAGGGGAGAGTGCAGCCGCCCACGCCTGGGACATGCAAGCCATGTGAACACCATAACGCCACAGTAATGCCACGGCCACACATGTCTGCTACATGCAGCACCAGGAATGTCACGGCTGCAGGCGTCCATAACACACAGCACACGGGAATGCCATGGCTGCACACGGGAATGCCACGGTTGCACAAGTCCACAACATGCAGCACACGGGAAGGCCACGGCTGCACATCTGGTGCCTGTCACGCTCTGCAAGGGTCTCACCGGCTCTGGCTGTTTTTCCTCCCTGGCGCGACCCCCCCTCCTGCACACACACAGGAAGGCCGTTAACTGTGGTTTCTGGGCCACCTCCTGTGTTTTGTGCCAGAGGGACAATTTATAACCCCCAGGCCCTGAACCTGGGTCGGGGGCTTTCCTCCGGCCTGCCCGGGGGATCCTGGGACTCGTAGTCTGAGGAGGGGGCTGGGGCGGCAGCAGCTTTGGGGAGTTGCTCAGCCCCCTAGGTGCAGGGGTGCTTGGCCGAGCCCTTGCTGGGCTGGGACTGGCTATGCCCCCGGGTAGTCAGGCCCTTGCACTCTGCGCAGTGAAACAGCTGCACCCCCCCCCCACCCCAGAGGTGGCTGCATTTAGGTCACTGAATGTGGGCTATGGG